CTTTATTTAGTAAGTTAATTCGATGTGAATGGCGCAGTAGTTGGAATTTTATAAAAGGATAATCACAAATTTTTTCTCGATTTTTTTTTTTTATCTGCAAAAATAAATAAAAGCAAGAGATGAAATATTTTATTCAATTTGCTCAATGTACGAATATTTTTTTACCAGTTAAATTAATTACTTTAAGACAGATTCATCGTAAATATTACTATTAATACTAACAATCTATATTTTAATCTTATGATGAAACATCGGGCTTATTATTCAGTTCATGAAGAATTTAGACTACCAGAGCTTGAATCATTAGCAAAAATTGAAGATGTAAAGTTGACATATAATAAAGAAGAATATAAAAAAAATGTAAGTTTCGAAAGTTATCTTTTTTTTGACTATACTCATCTCATTTTCTTATATGGCTAAATAGTGTCCATTTTTGGTCGTTGACATTGAAACTGAGGAAGAAGCGGCAAGACTTATTAAACGAGCTATTTTGATAAAGTGGGTAATTAGATCTTGGTTTAAAAGTTATTTTCTTATTAATATATATTTGATAACCGTAGAAATATTTATGAATTATGGGGAATGGGTGAAACATATGATGAAGTGCATGCTCAAGTAAAAGCTTATCCTGAACGATGGGTAATGAGATTAATATTTATTTATTTATTTTATAATCTTCATATAAATTATAATTTTTTACATTACTTCTCAAATAATGATTTTTTATTTATAATAGTCTTCATATATCCACAAATCATTTAAATTCACGGTATCAGGCTTCGGATCCACATGTTCATCAGATTATCAAGTTCGTATAATCAATTCTTTTTCTTATCTTGGATTTAAAGGAGATATCGACTTAAAAAATCCACAAGTACAATTTGGTGTATTAGAAGACTATGGGCTAGACCCTCATGCTGCACTTCCACCACCAAATCCTTATACTATATATTTTGGGCGTTTGGTGAGTTTTATCTAAATATTTTGTTCATTTACTAAAAAAAAAATCGCTTTTTTTTCATGTTATAAAAAAACTTTATTTTTTATCGCTTTTATTGCATAATAGATTGCTTCTGGAAATAGGGATCTGGTTCAGAAATACAATTTAAAAAAAAGAAAATATATCGGAAATACGTCAATGGACGCTGAATTATCATTGATAATGGCTAATCAAGCATTGGTTCGTTTCTTTTTTGTTTATCATAATTTTATTCTTCCAATATAAGTAGTTTCTATTCTTTTTTTTTAGGCTTCTCCGGGAAAACTGATATATGATCCGTTCGTAGGTACAGGCAGCTTTCTTTTAACATGTGCACACTTTGGCGCGTTCACTTTGGGGTCAGACATCGACGGACGGCAAATTCGTGGACAAGGTTTTATAAAAATCTTTTATATTAAATTTAATTGATTCATCATTCATAGCATTCTTATTAATGAGCCTGTCAATGTTCCCATTAATGATCTATTATGATTATTGTTTGTAGCGGATAAATCTGTAAAATCCAACATAGATCAATATAATCTAGGTGACAAAGTCTTGGATACCTTAGTCTTTGATATATGTCATCATCCGTGGCGAGAAAATCTCTGGTTTGATGCAATTGTGACCGATCGTAAGTGAATAATTTAATTATAATTTATTATCATATTTATGTTGATTCAGACTCTTCAATCTATAAATTTTTTATCGAGAATAGCACCGTATGGTGTTAGGGCGGGTGCAAAAAAACTTGGAAGAAAAGATCCAACAAAACGGTCGCGTGTAGTTGATGGTGTACCAGCTCACAAGTACGTTATGAATATCACATTTCACTTGCAAATTGTTATTTATTTATTTTATTTAATTCTTTAAAAAAAAAAGACGCGAAAATTATTATCCGCCAACAAAGCCATACGAAATGTCTGAAGTGCTCATAGATCTGTTGGAATTCGCTGCACGATTTTTAGTAGTTGGTGGTCGTTTAGTATATTGGTTACCAACTATTGTTGATGAGTGTGTTATCCTCTACTTATATTTTACTGTTATATATTCAACTAATCTGAATATCTATCTAACAAGCTTTAAAAATTTTTTTTTGCTAAAATAGGTATTCGAGTGAAGATATACCTGAACACCCGTGCATGATTCTGATTTCTAATAGTGAGCAAAATTTTGGGCAATGGAGTAGACGATTAGTTACGATGGAAAAATTTAAGGAGAATGTCGAAGGTGAACATGCAAGTGTGAACAATGCAAAAAGTTTAGATAACATGTCATTGTTATTCCAAAAAAAGAAAGAGGGAAAAAGTGATGGTGATGGAAAAGATTTCGAAAAAACAAATGATAACGACGCGAATAAAAAACCTGGTCATTACTTATTTCGCGAAAAAGTTTGTCATTTCTTTTCTTATTTAGTCGTATACTTTTTTAAAAAAAATTATAATATATATATTTTAATAACCTTTTTTTTTCTAATGGGATTTAATTTGAAATAGTATTTTTCGTTCAAGTCCGAAGAAAAAACTAAAAGAGAGCAGACATGGATAAGATTTAAGAACAAAGACAATGCAAATGACAGTGTTGATAACGTGCAATCATCTTCTACAATACCACCTACAGAAAATATCCTTAGTGAAAAGCCATCAGATTATAATACTAAAAAGCCGGAACAATAAAATCAGTAGTAGTAATGTTTGTAGATTTATATAACAAGGCTCTGATTATTTTATCTGGCCATAAAATTAAATCCAAGTGATTTATGAACGTTATATAGCTATTTTGATCATCTGTTAAAAATTACAAAAAAAAAAAGTTTTTATTCTTGGATATATTAAAAGAGTTTGCTATATTTTTACCAATTCTTCATGGCGAAATCGATACCTAATTAAGATGTATAAAGATCAAATTCGAAAATAAAGCGATGTACAATTAAAACTTACCACTCTATGTATAAAATTCTCTTTGTAAGCTATCTATTTTAAAATCAATTATTATAAGCACGTTTTTAAAAAGTCATGTAATTATTAGAGATGTGCCTCGCGCGCGACAAATATAGCAAATATGACTTCATATCCCGCGCAAAATATATGACGGTCTTTTTTATTTAAAATTTATTTCGCGCGTGATCATATGATTAATCGCGCGAATATGATGTCAGCATCTCGCACATAGGCACATCTCTAGTAATTATAGAGATCTGATTGCATTATGTAAAAAAACATTTTAAAATAGAATATTTCTTAATATTTTAATATTTAAACTATATTATTTCTCGCCTATTGTTTTAGAGCCTTAACATGCAATAAAATGCGAATATTAGTTACAGTATTAATATAATTAGATTAGTATAATACTATAATTATAAATTGGTTTTTTTTTATAGAAAATTTTACATTTTTATTGAACCTATCTTTTTTAAAGCTATACATATCACAATATTCAGCTTCTTTTTCTCCCTCATTATCAGAGAAATTCTCACGTTATCGTCATAGTTTCTAACATTCTCATTACACATTACCAAGCAAATTAAATACAGTATAGCACGAATTCATGAAATTGATAAAATATATTGTATATTGGCTATCATATCGGTTTTGAAGTTTTCAAATTAAT